TATTTCGGGAGGAAGAAGGGAATTTTGGGGGTTTTGAGGTGGAAAAAGGAAATTTTGGGGTTTTCTTTGGGGTTTTTTGGAGGAAAAAGGGAATTTTGGGGTTTTTCTTTGGGGTTTTTGGGGTCAAAAAGAGGAATTTTGTGGGAAATAAGAGAATTTTGGGAGAATTTTTGGGGGAAAAAAGGGAATTTTGGAGTTTTCAGGGGAAAAAAGAGAATTTTGGGGTTTTTAGGGGGGAATGAAAGGGAATTTTGGGGTTTTTGGAGACAAAAGGAAATTTTGGAGGGAAAAGTAGGAATTTTGGGGTTTTTTGGGGAAAAACAGGGAATTTTAGGGGTTTTGGGGAGAGGAAAAAGGGAATTTTGGGGTTTAGGGGTTTGGGGAGAAAAAGGGAATTTTGAGAGGTGGAAAAAAGGGAATTTTGGGGGAAAAAGGGAATTTTGGGGTGGGTTTTTTGGGGGAAAGGAATTTTGATTGGAAAAAGAGGGAATTTTGGGGATGTTTTTGGGAGGAAAAAGGAATTTTGGGGGGTTTTGTGGGGAAAAAGGCAATTTTTGGGGGGAAAGGGAATATTGGGGTTTTTGGAGGGAAAAAGGAAATTTTGGGGTTTTTTGAGGTGGGAAAAAGAAGGAATTTTAGGGGGAAAAAGGGAATTTGGGGGGTTTTTGGGGAAAAAGAGAATTTGTGGGGTTGTTGGGGGTTAAAAGGGAAATTTTGGGGGGGATTTGGGGGTCAAAGACCCAAAAATTTTGGGGGGAAAGGGGAGGGGCCGAAGGGATTTGGGGGTGGGGCTCAAATTTTGGGGGCAGGGCTTCATTTTTGGGGGGGGATTTTGGGGGATTTTTGGTGTCAAAGACAAATTTTGGGGTCCCTCCTTTTTGGTAGTCCCAAAACCCCAAAATCTCCCAAAAACCCCAAAAACCCCCAAATCCCCCCCTTTATTTGAATTTCAGGGGGGGATTTTGGCGTCCCCCCCAAACCTGGGTTGGGATTTTGGGGTCCCCCCAAATTCAGGGTTTTAATTTGGGGTCTCCCCAAATTTGGGGTCCCAAACCCTCAAAACCCCAAATTCACCCCAAAAACACTCCCAAAAAATCCCCCCTTAATTTGAATTTTAGGGAGGGATTTTGGGGTCCCCCCTAAACCTGGGTTGGGATTTTGGGGTCCCCCCAAATTCAGGGCTCGAATTTTGGGGTCCCTTCAGATTTTGGGGTCCCAAAACCCCCCAAAACCCCCAAAATTACCCCCAAAATCCCCCCTTAATTTGAATTTTAGGGAGGGATTTTGGGGTCCCCCCTAAACCTGGGTTGGGATTTTGGGGTCCCCTCACCCCAAGTCTCAAATTTTGGGGTCCCCCTAACTTTAGGGATCCCCAAAATCCCCCAAAAACCCTCAAATTTCACCCCAAAAAAACCCCAAATTACCCCAAAATCCCCAAAGATCCCCCCCAAAATCCCCCCTTAATTTGAATTTTAGGGAGGGATTTTGGGGTCTCCCCTAAACCTGGGTTGGGATTTTGGGGTCCCCCCAAATTCAGGGCTCAAATTTTGGGGTCACCCCCAAATTTGGGGTCTCAGAACCCCCCAAAAATACCCAAAATTACCCCAAAATCCCCAAAAAATCCCCCCTTTAATTCAGATTTGGGGAGGGATTTTGGGGTCCTCCCTAAACCTGGGCTGGGATTTTGGGGTCCCCCCAAACTGAACTTTAATTTTGGGGTCCCCTTCTTTTTTTAGGGTCCCAAAACCCCCAAAAAACCCCAAAATTACCCCAAAAATCCCCAAAAAATCCCCCCTTAAATCAGATTTGGGGTGGGATTTTGGGGTCCCCCCCAAACCTGGGTTTGGATTTTGGGGTCCCCCCACCCCAGGGTTTTAATTTGGGGTCCCCCCAGATTTGGGGGGTTCACCCCTGACCTTAAACCCTCCTTTTTCACCCCAAAATTTCCTCTCCCAGACCCCCCCAAAATCCCCCCTTAAATCAATTTGGGGTGGGATTTTGGGGTCCCCCACAAACCTGGGCTGGGATTTTGGGGTCCCCCAAACTGAACTCTTGATTTTGGGGTCTCCTCAAATTTGGGGTCCCAAACCCAAAAACCCCAAAATTACCCCAAAAATCCCCCCAAAATCCCCCCAAAATCCCCCCTTAATTTGAATTTTAGGGATGGGATTTTGGGGTCCCCCTAAACCTGGGCTGGGATTTTGGGGTCCCCCCAAACTAGGACTTTAATTTTGGGGTCCCCCTAAATTTGGGGTCCCAAAACCTCCAAAACCCCAAATTACCCCAAAATCCTCCCAAAATTCCCCCAAAATCCCCCCTTAATTTGAATTTTAGGGAGGGATTTTGGGGTCCCCCAAACCTGGGCTGGGATTTTGGGGTCCCCCCAAATTTAGGACTTCAATTTTTGGGGTCCCCCCCAAATTTGGGGTCCCAAAACCCCCCAAAAAAACCAAAATTACCCCCAAAAATCCTCCAAACTCCCCAAAATCCCCCTTAATTTGAATTTTGGGGTGGGATTTTGGGGTCCCCCCTAAACCTGGGTTGGGATTTTGGGGTCCCCCCAAACTGAACTTTAATTTTGGGGGTCCCCCCCGATTTGGGGGGTTCACCCCTGACCTTAAACCCTCCTTTTTCACCCCAAAATTTTCTCTCCCAGACCCCCCCAAAATCCCCCCTTAAATTAGATTAGGGGTGGGATTTTGGGGTCCCCCAAACCTGGGTTGGGATTTTGGGGTCCCCCCAAATTTAGGGTTTTAATTTTGGGGTCCCCCCCAAATTTGGGGTCCCCAAACCCCCAAAATCCCCAAAATCCCCCAAAATCCCCCAAAATCCCCCCTTAATTTGAATTTTAGGGTGGGATTTTGGGGTCCCCCCTAAACCTGGGTTGGGATTTTGGGTTCCCCCCAAATTCAGGCTTCAAATTTTGGGGTCCCCCCCAAATTTGGGGTCCCAAAATCCCCCAAAACCCCCAAAATTACCCCAAAAAACCCCCAAAATCCCCCCAAAATCCCCCCTTAATTTGAATTTAGGGTGGGATTTTGGGGTCCCCCCTAAACCTGTGCTGGAATTTTGGGGTCCCCCCAAACTGAACTTTAATTTTGGGGTCCCAAAATCCCCCCAAAAACCCCAAAAATCCCCAAAAAAATCCCCAAAAATCCCCAAAATCCCCCTTAATTTGAATTTTAGGGAGGGATTTTGGGGTCCCTCAAACCTGGGTTGGGATTTTGGGGTCCCCCCATCCCAAGTCTCAAATTTTGGGGTCCCCCCAGATTTAGGGGGTTCACCCCTGACCTTAAACCCTCCTTTTTCACCCCAAAATTTCTCTCCCAGACCCCCAAAATCCCCTTAAATCAGATTTGGGGTGGGATTTTGGGTCCCTAAACCTGGGCTGGAATTTTGGGGTCCCCCAAACTGAATTTAATTTGGGGTCCCTTTTTTTAGGGTCCCCAAAACCCCAAAAACCCCCCAAAAATCCCCCCAAAATCCCAAAAAAATCCCCCCTTAAATCAGATTTCGGTTGGGATTTTGGGGTCCCCCCCAAACCTGGGCTGGAATTTTGGGGTCCCCCCAAACTGAACTTTAATTTTGGGGTCCCAAACTTGAAACCCCCAAAAACTCCCAAAAAACCCCAAAATCCCCCCTTAATTTGAATTTTAGGCCCCCTTTGAGTGGAAATTTTGGGGTCCCCCCTAAACCTGGGCTGGAATTTTGGGGTCCCCCCAAACTGAACTTTAATTTTGGGGTCCCCTCCTTTTTTTAGGGTCCCAAAAACCCCAAAAACCCCAAAATTACCCCAAAAAACCCCAAAATTACCCCAAAAAAACCCCAAAATCCCCCCTTAATTTGAATTTTAGGGAGGGATTTTGGGGTCCCCCCTAAACCTGGGTTGGGATTTTGGGGTCCCCCCAAATTTAGGTCTCGAATTTTGGGGTCCCCCCCAAATTTGGGGTCCCAAAACCCCCAAAAACCCCCAAAATCCCCACAAAATCCCCTCCAAAATCCCTCCTTAAATCAGATTTGGGGTGGGATTTTGGGGTCCCCCCTAAACCTGGGTTGGGATTTTGGGGTCCCCCCATCCCAGGGTTTTAATTTGGGGTCTCCCCTTTTTTAGGGGTTCACCCCTGACTTAAACCCTCCTTTTTCACCCCAAAATTTTTTCTCCCAGACCCCCCAAAATCCCCCCTTAATTTGAATTTTGGGGTGGGATTTTTGGGGTCCCCCACAGACCTGGGCCGGGATTTTGGGGTCCCCCCAAACTGAACTTTAATTTTGGGGTCCCAAAACCCCCCAAAAACCCCAAAATTACCCCAAAAAAAACCCAAAATCCCCCTTAATTTGAATTTTAGGGTGGAATTTTGGGGTCCCCCCCAAACCTGGGTTGGGATTTTGGGGTCCCCCCCAAAACTGAACTTTAATTTTGGGGTCCCCTCCTTTTTTTAGGGTCCCCAAACCCCAAAAACCCCCCAAAAATCCCCCAAAAATCCCAAAAAAATCCCCCCTTAAATCAGATTTGTGTTGGGATTTTGGGGTCCCCCCTAAACCTGGGTTGGGATTTTGGGGTCCCCCCCAAACTGAACTTTAATTTTGGGGTCCCCCCCGATTTAGGGGGTTCACCCCTGACCTTTAACCCCCTTTTTTTCACCCCAAAATTTCTCTCCCAGACCCCCAAAATCCCCCCTTAATTTGAATTTTAGGGAGGGATTTTGGGGTCCCCCCTAAACCTGGGCTGGGATTTTGGGGTCCCCCAAACTGAATCTTAATTTGGGGTCCCACCCTAGGTTCCCAGAGGTCCCAAAACCCCCCAAAACCCCAAAAGATCCCCCCAAAATCCCCCCTTAATTTGAATTTTAGGGAGGGATTTTGGGGTCCCCCCTAAACCTGGGTTGGGATTTTGGGGTCCCCCCAAACTGAACTTTAATTTTGGGGGTCCCCTCTTTTTTAGGGGTTCACCCCTGACCTTAAACCCTCCTTTTTCACCCTTAAATTTCCTCTCCCAGATTCTACCACGTGGGGCGCTCCCGCCAGCAGAGCGTCCCGGGGGAAGTAGCTCAGCATCAACATGGACGCCCCCCCAGCCCCCCCCTTCCGGCCCTCGGTGAGTCCACGGTTGCCATGGCAACCCAAAATTAACCCCTGGTTGCCATGGAGACCCAAATTAACCCCACTTCCAAAAATAACCCCCTGTTTGCCATGAGCAATACCCCATGTTGCTATGGAGACCTACAAATGACCCCTAGTTGCCATAGATCCAAAATAATCCAAAATAACTCCCTGGTTGCTATAGCGACCTAAAATAACCCTGGTTTGCCATGGAAACCTAAAATCATCCCTGGGTTGCCATGGAAACCCAAAATATATCTCTTGTATAACCCAAAATAATCCAAAATTACTCTGGTTGCCATGGAAACCTAAAAATAACCCTCTGGTTTGCCATGGCAACCCAAAATTACCCTGGTTGCCAAGTGGAGACCCAAAATAACCCCCTTCCAAAATAACCCCCCCTGGTTGCCATGGAAACCTGAAATTATCTCTTGTTGCTATGGAGACCTAAAATAACCCCCTGGTTGCCATGGAAACCCAAAATAACCCAAAATATTCCAAAATAACCCCCTGTTGCCATGGTAACCTAAAATAACCCCTGGTTGCCATGGAGACCCAAAATTACCCCCCCTTCCAAAATAACCCCCCCTGTTGCCATGGAGACCCAAAATATCCCAAAATAACCCCCTGGTTGCCATGGTAACATAAGATAACCCCCTGGTTGCTATGGAAGCCCAAAATTACCCTCTGGTTGCCATGGAGACCCAAAATAACCTCCTTCAAAATCACTCCTGGTTGCCATGGAAACCCAAAATAATCCAAATTAACCCAAAATAATCTAAAATAACCCAAAATTACCCCTGGTTGCCATGGTAACCTAAAATAACCCCCCTGGTTGCCATGGAAACCTAAAATAACCCTTAAAATAACCCCTGGTTGCCATGGAAACCTAAAATTACCCCCCTGGTTGCCATGGCAACCCAAAATAACCCCTTCCAAAATAACCTCCTGGTTGCCATGGAAACCTAAAATTACCCCTGGTTGCTATGGAGACCCAAAATAACACAAAATAACCCAAAATAACCCAAAATCACCCCCTGGTTGCCATGGCAACCTAAAATTACCCCCTGGTTGCCATGGAAACCTAAAATACCCCCCTGGTTGCCATGGAAACCCAAAATAACCCCTGGTTGCCATGGAAACCTAAAATAATCCAAAATAAACCCCCCTGGTTGCCATGGCGACCTTAAATAACCCCCCTGGTTGCCATGGCAACCCAAAATCATCCCCTGGTTGCCATGGAAACCTAAAATAACCCAAAATAATCCAAAATTACCCCTGGTTGCCATGGAAACCCAAAATAACCCCCCTGGTTGCCATGGAAACCCAAAATGACCCCCTGGTTGCCATGGAGACCCAAAATGACCCCCCCTTCCAAAATAACCCCCCTGGTTGCCATGGAAACCTAAAATAACCCTAGGTTGCCATGGAGACCCAAAATAACCCCTGGCTTGCCAAAATTACCCCCTGGTTGCCATGGAAACCCAAAATAACCCCAAATATCCCAAAATAACCCCCTGGTTGCCATGGTAACCTAAAATAACCCCCTGGTTGCCATGGTAACCCAAAATTACCCTAGTTTGCCATGGCAGACCCTTAAAATTACCCTGTTGCCATGGCAGAAATAACCTCCTGTTGCCATGGAAACCTGAAATTATCTCTTGTTGCTATGGAGACCCAAAAAGAACCCAAGATTACCCTAGTTTGCCATGGAAGCCTAAAATAACTCCCTGGTTGCCACGGAAACCTAAAATCATCCCTGGTTGCCATGGAAACAAAAAATATCCCAAAATAAACCCCCCTGGTTGCCATGGAAACCTAAAATCACCCCTGGTTGCCATGGAGACCTAAAATAACCCCTGGTTGCCATGGAGACCTAAAATAACCCCCCCTTCCAAAATAACCCCCTGGTTGCCATGGAAACCTAAAATAATCCCCTGACCCCTTCTGTGACCCCTCAGTGACCCCCAAGTGACCTCTGACCCCCCTGTGACCCCCCATGACCCCTGATCTCCCATTGACCTCCCAGTGACCCCCAGTGACCTCCTTTATTGACCCCTGACTTGACCTCCCATTGACCCCCAGTGACCCCCAGTGACCCCTGACCCCCCATTGACCTCTTACTGACCCCCATTGACCCCAGTGACCCCCAGTGACCCCCAGTGACTCAGGACCCCTGTTGACCTCTCAGTGACCCCGTGACCTCCTAGTGACCCCCAGTGACCTCCGTGACCCCCTGTGACCCCTCATGACCCCCAGTGACCTCCCAGTGACCCCTCAGTGACCTCCAATGACCTCCCTGACCTCCCAGTGACCCCAGTGACCCCCAGTGACCCCATGTGACCTCCTGACCTTCCAGTGACCCCAGTGACCTCACCATGACCCCCATGACCTCCCCAGTGACCCCCAGTGACCCCCAGTGACCTCCATGACCTCCCAGTGACCCCTCAGTGACCCCAGTGACCCCTGACCTCCCGTGACCCCCAGTGACCCCTCAGTGACCCCCAGTGACCCTCCCAGTGACCCCCTGACCTCCCATTGACCCCCATGACCCTCTGTGTGACCTCAGTGTGACCTCCTGACCTCCCTGTGACCCCTGACCTCCCATGACCCCCATTGACCCCCATGACCCTCATGTGACCTCAGTGTGACCTCCATGACCCCCATTGACCCCCATGACCCTCTGTGTGACCTCAGTGTGACCTCCTGACCCCCCAGTGACCCCTGACCTCCCCATGACCCCCATTGACCTCTGACCCTCTGTGACCCCAATGACCTCTCACGACCCCAGTGACCCCTCAGTGACCCCCAATGACCCTCCCATTGACCCCCAATGACTGACCTCCCATTGACCTCCCGTGACCCCCAGTGACCTCCCATGACCCCCATTGACCCCATGACTCCCAGTGACCCTCAGTGACCTCTGACCTCCCATTGACCCCCAGTGACCTCTGACCCTCTGTGACCCCAATGACCTCTTCATGACCCCATTGACCCTCAGTGACCCACAAGTGACCTCTGACCCTCCTGTGACCCCCCAGTGACCCCTGACCCCCCTGACCTCCCATTGACCTCCATGACCCCTGTGTGACCTCAGTGTGACCTCCTGACCCCCCTGTGACCTCTGACCTCGCCATGACCCCCAATGACCTCCTGACCTCCCATTGACCCCCCAGTGACCTCATGACCTCTCTACTGACCCCCAATGACCCCTGTGTGACCTCAGTGTGACCTCCTGACCCTTCTTGACCCCAGTGACCCCTCAGTGACCCCCAAGTGATCTCTGACCCCCCTGTGACCTCAATGACCTCTTCATGACCCCTAGTGACCCCCATTAACCCCTGACCTCCCATTGACCTCTATGACCCCCATGACCCTCTTGACCCCAATGACCCTTCTACGACCCCCATTGACCTCCCTGACTCTCCAGTGACCCCATGATGTGACCCCCGGTGACCTTTTGATGACCCCTTGGTGACCTTTTGATGACCTCTTGGTGACCTTCTGTTGACCTTTGACCTCCTCTCCCAGCAAGGCCTCCTAGGCCCCCTAAGCTTTCTGACCCCTGTGACCCCTCTAATGACCCCTGACCTCCCATTGACTCCCAGTGACCTCCTGACCCTTCTATGACCCCCAGTGACCCTGACCTCCCATTGACCCCCAATGACCCTTGACCCCCCTGTGACCTCTGCATGACCTTACATGACCCCCCATGACCTCCTGACCTCCCAGTGACCTCCCCAGTGACCCCTGACCTCCCATTGACCCCCCATTGACCCCTGACCTCCCATTGACCTCATGACCCCTGACTGTGACCCTCAGTGACCCCATGACCCCCAGTGACCCTCAATGACCCCTGACCTCCCATTGACCCCCATTGACTCCATGACCTCCTGACCCCAGGTGACCCCTCAGTGACCCTGACCCTCATTGACCCTATGACCCTGACCTCCCATTGACCTCATGACCCCCATGACCTCTCTTGACCCTAATGACCCTTCTATGACCCTCAATGACCTCTTTATGACCCTCAGTGACCCATGACCCCATGACCCTGTGTGACCTCCTGACCCCTTGGTGACCTTTTGGTGACCTTTGGTGACCACTGACCCCCTCAGCAAGGCTTCCTGAGCCCCCAACCTTTGTACCTTTGTGACCCCCAGTGACCTCGACCTCCCATTGACCCCATGACCCCTCTTGACCCCAATGACCCTTCCATGACCCCCATTGACCTCCCATTGACCCCCAGTGACCTTCATTGACCCCAGTGACCTCTGACCCTTCTGTGACCCCCAATGACCTCTTCATGACCCCCAGTGACTCCTCAGTGACCCCCAATGACCCCTGACCTCCTGTGACCCCCATTGACCCCATGACCCTCCATTGATCTCGTGACCTCCATTGACCCCATGACCCCTGACCTCCCCTGACCCCCAATGACCCCTGACCTCCCATTGACCCCATTGACCCCCAGTGACCCCCTGTGACCCCCATTGACCCCTTGACCCCATGACCCTCTTGACCCCAATGACCCTTCTATGACCCCAATGACCTCCCCATGACCCCAGTGACCTCTGACCCTTCTATGACTACAATGACCTCCCCATGACCCCTGTGACCCCTCAGTGACCCCCAATGACCCCTGACCTCCCCTGACCCCCAATGATTCCTGACCCCCATTGACCCCCATTGACCCTGACCTCTCCATTGACTTGACCCCCATGACCCCTCTTGACCCCAATGACCATTCTATGATCCCCAATGACCTCCCCATGACCCCCATTGACCCCCCAGTGACCCCATGACCTCACCAATGACCTCTGACCCCTCTGGTGACCCATGATGACCCCTTGATGACCCCTTGGTGACCTCTTGATGACCTCTTGTGACCTTTGACCCCTGCCCTCTCCCAGCAAGGCTTCCTGAACCCCCCCCAACCTTTCTGACCCCCTGTGACCCCCCAATGACCCCTGACCTCCCATTGACCCCCCAGTGACCTCTGACCCTTCTGTGACCACAATGACCTCCCCCTGACCCCCATGACCCCTGAGTGACCCCTCATGACCCCCATTAACCCCTTGACCTCCCATTGACCCCCAGTGACCCCTTGACCCCCTGTGACCCCCAGTGACCCCTGACCTCCATGACCCCCAATGACCTCCCAGTGACCCATTGACCCCTCTGACCCCCAATGACCTCTCTTGACCCCAGTGACCCTTCTATGACCCCCAATGACCTCTTTATGACCCCCAATGACCTCACCATGACCCCCAGTGACTCCATGACCCTTGGTGACCTTTGATGACCTTCTGGTGACCCTTTGCCCTTGCCCAGCAAGGCTTCCTGAGACCCCTCACCTTTCTGACCCCCTGTGACCCCCAATGACCTCACCATGACCCCCTGACCCTCTTGACCCCCAGTGACCCCTCAGTGACCCCCAGTGACCCCTCAGTGACCCCCAATGACCCCTGACCTCCCATTGACCCCCCAGTGACCCCTGACCTCCCTCTGACCCCCCATTGACCCCTGACCTCCCATTGACCCCCATTGACCCCTCATTAACCTCTGACCTCCCCATGACCCTCCATTGACCTCCATGACCCCCAGTGACCCCTGACCTCCCATTGACCCCCAGTGACCTCCTGACCCTTCTGTGACCCCTCCCAGTGACTCCCATTGACCCCCAATGACCCCTGACCTCCCATTGACCCCCATGTGACCCCCATGACCCTCTGCGTGACCTCAGTGTGACCTCCATGACCCCATGTGACCCCCCAGTGACCTCCATGACCCCCATGATCCCTAATGACCCCCAGTGACCCCTCAGTGACCCCCACTGACCCCTCTGACCTCCCATTGACCCCCTTGACCCCATGACCCCTTGACCCCAATGACCCTCTATGACCCCCAAGTGACCTCCCTGACCTCCTGTGACCCCCTATTGACCCCATGACCTCCCACTGACCCCCAGTGACCCCCTCAGGACCCCTTGACCTCCCAATGACCCCTGACCCCCATTGACCTCCATTGACCCCCCATGACCTCTCTGTGACCTCATGTGACCTCCTGACCCCCAGTGACCCCCAGTGACCTGAGCCCAGTGACCCTCATGACCCCCATTGACCCCATGACCTCCCTCACCCCCCATTGACCCCCATTGACTCCTGACCCCCATTGACCCCATTGACCCCATGACCTCCCATTGACCCCCATGACCTCCCCATGACCCCCCATTGACCCCTATGACCCTCTGTGTGACCTCACTGTGACCTCACTGACCCCCAGTGACCTCCTGACCCTCCTATGACCCCAATGACCTCCCCATGACCCCTGTGACCCCTCAGTGACCCCCAATGACCCCTGACCTCCCTGACCCCCCAATGACCTCCTGACCTCCCATTGACCCCCATTGACCCCTGACCTCCCATTGACCCCAGTGACCCCTGACCCCCTGACCCCATGACCCCTGACCTCCCATTGACCCCCTTGACCCCCCATGACCCTCTTGACCCCAATGACCCTTCTATGACCCCCAATGACCCTCCCCATGACCTCTCAGTGATCCCCAAGTGCTCCCTGACCCCCATTGACCCCCTGGTGACCTCATGACCCCTTGGTGACCCCCTGGTGACCCTTGATGACCTCCTGGTGACCTCTTGTTGACCTCTGTGACACCCCCTCCCAGCATGGCCTCCTGAACCCCCACCTTTCTGACCCCCTGTGACCCCCAGTGACCTCCCATTGACCCCCAGTGACCCCCTGACCCTTCTATGACCCCCAGTGACCTCTTCATGACCCCCATTGACCCCTATGACCCCCAAGTGACCTCATGACCCCTGTGACCCCTAGTGACCACTTCATGACCCCTATGTGACCCCCTGTGACCCCCACAGTGACCCTCTGACCCCCGTGACTCCTCAATGACCCCTGACCCCTGTGACCCCATACGACCCCCCAGTGACCCCCCAGTGACCCCATGACCCTTCTATGACCCTCAATGACCTCCCATGACCTCCTGACCCCCAGTGACTTCTCAGTGACCCCCAAGTGACCTCATGACCCCTGTGACCCCTCCCATGACCCCGACCTCCCATTGACCCCTCAATGACCCCCTGACCCCCTGTGACCTCCCAAGTGACCCCCTGACCCCCATGACCCCAATGACCTCCCAGTGACCCATGACCCCCTCTGACCCCCAATGACCTCTCTTGACCCCAGTGACCCTTCTATGACCCCCAATGACCTCTCCTTGACCCCCAGTGACCCCCATTAACCCCTGTCCTCCCATTGATTCCCATGACCCCCATGACCCCTCTTGACCCCAATGACCATTCTATGACCCCCTATTGACCTCTTAATGACCCCCAGTGTCCCCAATGACCCCTGACCCCTCTGTGTGACCTCAGTGTGACCTCCTGACCTTCCATTTACCCCTGACCCCCTGTGACCCCCCCATTGACCCCCATGACCCCTGTGTGACCTCAGTGTGACCTTATGACCCTCCAGTGACTCCAGACCTCCCCATGACCCCCTGGGTGACCTCCTGACCCCTTGGTGACCTTTTGATGACCTCTTGATGACCTTTTGTTGACCTTTGACCCCCTGCCCCTCTCCCAGCAAGGCTTCCTGAACCCCCCACCTTTCTGACCCCCTGTGACCCTCAATGACCCCTGACCCCCTGGTGACCCCTTGATGACCTCCTGGTGACCCCCCATTAACCCTGACCTCCCATTGACCCCATGACCCCTGTGTGACCCCTGACCTTTCCCTGACCCCCAATGACCCTGACCTCCCCATGACCCCATTGACCCTCCATGACCCCCTGTGACTCCCCATGACCTCCTGACCCCCAGTGACTTCTCAGTGACCCCCAATGACCCCTGACCCCCTGTGACCTCCATGACCCCAGTGACCCCTGACCTCCCATGACCTCTGTGACCCCCAATGACCCCTGACCTCCCATTGACCCCCATTGACCCCTCTTGACCCCAATGACCCTTCTATGACCCCCAATGACCTTTCCATGACCCCCTTGCGACCCCAATGACCCCATGACCCCTGTGTGACCTCTTGACCCCCCTGATGACCCCTTGGTGACCTTTTGGTGACCTCCTGGTGACCCCTTGGTGACCTTTGACCCCCTGCCCCTCTCCCAGCAAGGCTTCCTGAGCCGGCGCCTGAAGAGCTCCATCAAACGCACCAAGAGCCAACCCAAGCTCGACCGCACCAGCAGCTTCCGGCAGATCCTGCCCCGCTTCCGGAGTGCTGACCACGACAGGTGACCCAAAACACCCCAAAACTGCAGGAAAACACCCCAAAAATGCACCAAAACCACCCCAAAAATGTCCCAAATCCCAACCCAAGCTCGACCGCACCAGCAGCTTCCGCCAGATCCTGCCCCGCTTCCGCAGCGCTGACCACGACAGGTGACCCAAAACACCCCAAAAATGCAGGAAAACACCCCAAAAAATGCAACAAAAGTACCCAAAAACCGTCCCGAAAAACGTATTAAAAATACGGCAAAAAAACCCCAGAAAACGCCTTAAAAACAACCCCAAAAAATCAAAAAAATACCCCCAAAAACACTCACAAAAACACCCCAAAACCACCCAAAAAGCAGCTCAAAAACACCCCAAAAATACCCTCAAAAACATCCTAAAAATATCCTAAAAACATCCCAAAAATGTCCCCAAAACACCCCAAAAATACAGCAAAAAAACACATGAAAAACAACCCCAAAACACCCTAAAAATACCCCAAAAACATCCCAGAAACACCCCCAAAATACAGCAAAAATACCCCAAAAACACACCCAAAAATACCCTCAAAACAACCCCAAAAATATCCCAAAAAGAACCCAAAAATACCCCCAAAAACACTCACAAAATACCCCAAAAATCCCCCCAAACCCCACCCCAAATCCCCCCCAAATCCCCCCCAAGCTCGACCGCACCAGCAGCTTCCGCCAGATCCTGCCCCGCTTCCGCAGCGCTGACCACGACAGGTGACCCAAAACACCCCAAAACTGCCCAAAAATGCACCAAAAACCACCCCAAAATATCACAAAAATGTCCCAAAAATGATCGTAAAATATGTCAGCAAAAAATCCCCAAAACCGCCTCCCCAAAATACCACCTAAAATATCCCAAAATTACCCCAAAAATCACCCCTAGAAATATCTCTAAAATACCCTCAAAAACAGCCTAAAATCATTCAAAAATACCTACAAAACACTCCAAAATACCCCAAAATACTCCCAAAAACACTCACTAAAAACACACCAAAAATATCCCCAAAACACCCTCAAAAACATCCTCAAAACACTCCCAAAAATACAGCCCAAAACACCCCAAAACACACCCAAAAATACCCTCAAAATAACCTCAAAAATACTCCTAAAAAGCAACCCAAAAATACCCCCAAAATACCCAAAACACCCTAAATATACCCTCAAAACATACCCCAAAAACATCCACAAAAAGAACCCAAAAATACCCTAAAAACACTCCTAAAAACACCCCAAAAACACCCCAAAAAATGCACCAAAAACCACCCCAAATCCCCCCCAAATCCCAACCCAAGCTCGACCGCACCAGCAGCTTCCGCCAGATCCTGCCCCGCTTCCGCAGCGCCGACCACGACAGGTGACCCAAAACACCCCAAAAATGCAGGAAAACGCCCCAAAAATCCACCCAAAATATCACAAAAACGTCCCAAAAACACTAAAAAAACGCCCAAAAAGGTCCCAAAAACACCCCAAAAAATCCCCAAAATACCCCCAATAACATCCAAAAAATGCCCCAAAATACCCCCAAAAACACCCCCAAACCACACCAAAAATATTCTAGAAATACCCCAAAAACACCCCAAGAAATCCCAAAAATCCCCCCCAAAAACACTCACAAAAACACACCAAAAATATCCTAAAAATACCCCCAAAAAATACCCCCAAAACCACCTCAAACACATCCTAAAAATACGCCAAAAATACCCCCAAAAACACTCACAAAAACACCCCAAAACAACCTAAAAACACGTCCAAAAAATACCCCAAAAACACACCCAAAAATACCCTCAAAACAACCCCAAAAGTATCCCAAAAAGAACCCAAAAACAGCCCAAGAAACACACCAAAAATATCCTAAAAATATCCCCAAAACATCCTAAAAATACCCCCAAAAACACCCCAAAAATCCCCAAAAAACACCCCAAAAACACCGCAAAAAACACACGAAAAACATCCTAAAAGCACCCCAAAAAACACCCCAAAAACACCCCAAAAATACCCCAAAAACCACCCCAAATCCCCCCCAAATCCCAACCCAAGCTCGACCGCACCAGCAGCTTCCGCCAGATCCTGCCCCGCTTCCGCAGCGCTGACCACGACAGGTGACCCAAAACACCCCAAAAATGCAGGAAAACACCCCAAAAATCCACCCAGAAATGTCCTAAAAACGTCCTAAAAATGCGTTGAAAAAAACGTCAAAAATGCCCCAAAAATACCCCAAAAAATCCCCAAAAATACACCTAAAAATACCTCCAAAAAGGTCCCAAAAACACCCCAAAAATATCCAAAAATACCCCCAAAAACACTCACAAAAAGGTCCCAAAAAATACCCTAAAAATACTCCAAAAATACCACCAGAAACATCCTAAAAACAACCCAAAAACAGCCCAAGAAACACCCCAAAAATATCCCCAAAACACCCCCAAAACATCCTAAAAACACCCCAAAAACATCCTCAAAACCTGCCCAAAATCACCCCAAAAACATCCCAAAAATACCCTCAAAATACCGCAAAAATACACCTCAAAAACACCACAAAAATACCCCAAAAAACACCCCAAAACCACCCCAAAAATACCCCAAAAACGTCCCCAAAAACACCACAAAACAACCCAAAAATACCCCAAAAACATCCTAAAAACACCCCAAAAAACACCCCAAAAATATCCTAAAAATACCCCCAAAAACGCTCCAAAACCACCACAAAAAGAACCCAAAAATACCCTCAAAACAACCCCAAAAATATCCCAAAAAGAACCCAAAAACACCCCCAAAAACATCCTAAAAACACCCCAAAAATCCCCCCAAAAACACCACAAAAACACCCCAAAAATCCCCCCAAACCCTACCCCAAATCCCCCAAATCCCCCCCAAGCTCGACCGCACCAGCAGCTTCCGGCAGATCCTGCCCCGCTTCCGGAGTGCCGACCACGACAGGTGACCCAAAACACCCCAAAAATGCGGGAAAACGCCCCAAAAATCCACCCAGAAACGTCCTAAAAACACCCCAAAAACGTCCTAAAAATGCGTTGAAAAAAACCCAAAAAAGCCCCAAAAACACCCCAAGAAATCCTAAAAATACCCCCAAAAATACTCACAAAAACACACCAAAAACACACCAAAAATATCCTAAAAATATCCTCAAAAACGTCCTAAAAACACCCCGAAAAATACACCAAAAAGAGATCAAAAACACCCCGAAAACCACCAAAAAAAATCCCCAAAAACACCCCAAAAATATCCTCAAAACAACCCCAAAAACACCCCAAAACCACACCAAAAATACCCCAAAAACATCCCCAAAAACATCACAAAAATGTCCCAAAAACACCCCCAAAAGCACACAAAAAACACCCCAAAAATATCCTAAAAAACATCACAAAAATACCCCCAAAAACGCCCCAAAAAAACACCCCAAAAACATAACAAAAACATCCCCAAAAACATCCCCAAAAACACCACAAAAAGAACCCCAAAAATACCCCCAAAAACATCCTAAAAACACCCCAAAAATCCCCCCAAAAATACCCCAAAAACATCCCAAAAATACCCTCAAAATACCGCAAAAATACCCCCAAAAAACACCCCAAAAATACCCCAAAAACATCCCCAAAAACAGCCAAAAAATGCACCAAAAACCACCCCAAATCCCCCCCAAGCTCGACCGCACCAGCAGCTTCCGCCAGATCCTGCCCCGCTTCCGCAGCGCCGACCACGACAGGTGACCCAAAACACCCCAAAAATGCAGGAAAACGCCCCAAAAATCCACCCAGAAATGTCCTAAAAACGTCCTAAAAATGCGTTGAAAAAAAGTCAAAAATGCCCCAAAAATACCCCAAAAAATCCCCAAAAATACACTTAAAAATACCCCCAAAAAGGTCCCAAAAACGCCCCAAGAAATCCAAAAAATACCCCCAAAAATGCCCCCAAAACACCCCAAAAATACCCCAAAAATACCCCCAAAAAAACCCCCAAACCACCCCAAAAATATCCTAAATATATCCTCAAAAACATCCTAAAAACATCCCAAAAATGTCCCCAAAAATACCCCCAAAAACACCACAAAAAGAACCCAAAAATGCCCCCAAAAACATCCTAAAAACACCACAAAAAGAACCCAAAAATACCCCCAAAAACATCCTAAAAATACCCCAAAAACACCCCAAAAATATCCTCAAAAACATCCTAAAAACACCCCCAAAAATATCCTAAATATATCCCAAACTCCCCAAAAACACCACAAAAAGAACCCAAAATACCCCCAAACCACTCCAAAACGCCCAAAACACACCAAAAATATCCTAAAAATATCCCCAAAACATCCTAAAAATACCCCCAAAAAACATGCCCAAAAACATCCCAGAAACACCCCCAAAATACAGCAAAAATACCCCAAAAACACACCCAAAAATACCCTCAAAACAACCCCAAAAATATCCCAAAAAGAACCCAAAAATACCCCCAAAAACACTCACAAAATACCCCAAAAATCCCCCAAACCCCACCCCAAATCCCCCAAATCCCCCCCAAGCTCGACCGCACCAGCAGCTTCCGCCAGATCCTGCCCCGCTTCCGCAGCGCTGACCACGACAGGTGACCCAAAACACCCCAAAACGCCCCAAAAATGCACAAAAAATCACCCCAAAATATCACAAAAATGTCCCAAAAATGTCGTAAAAATGTGTTGAAAAAAAACCCCAAAAACGCCCCAAAAATACCCCAAAAATATCCTAAAATTACCCCCAAAAATATCCTAGAAATACCCCAAAAATACCCTCAAAAACAGCCTAAAATCATTCAAAAAATACCACAAAAACGCCCCCAAAACACCCCAAAAATATCCCCAAAAACACTCGCAAAAACACACCAAAAATATCCCCAAAACACCCCCAAAAACATCCTAAAAACACTCCCAAAATACAGCAAAAACACCCCCAAAAACACACCCAAAAATACCCTCAAAATAACCCCAAAAATATCCCAAAAAGAACCCAAAAATACCCCCAAAACCACACCCAAATATACCCTCAAAACAACCCCAAAAATATCCCAAAAAGAACCCAAAAATACCCCCAAAAACACTCACAAAAACACCCCAAAAACACCCCAAAAAATGCACCAAAAACCACCCCAAATCCCCCCCAAATCCCAACCCAAGCTCGACCGCACCAGCAGCTTCCGCCAGATCCTGCCCCGCTTCCGGAGCGCTGACCACGACAGGTGACCCAAAACACCCCAAAAATGCGGGAAAACGCCCCAAAAACCACCCCAAAATATCACAAAAACGTCCCAAAAAAACCCAAAAAAAACCGCCCCAAAAAGGTCCCAAAAACACCCCAAAAAATCCCCAAAATACCCCCAATAACATCCAAAAAATGCCCCAAAATACCCCCAAAAACACCCCCAAACCACACCAAAAATATTCTAGAAATACCCCAAAAACACCCCAAGAAATCCCAAAAATCCCCCCCAAAAACACTCACAAAAACACACCAAAAATATCCTAAAAATACCCCCAAAAAATACCCCCAAAACCACTTCAAACACATCCTAAAAATACGCCAAAAATACCCCCAAAAACACTCACAAAAACACCCCAAAACAACCTAAAAACACGTCCAAAAAATACCCCAAAAACACACCCAAAAATACCCTCAAAACAACCCCAAAAGTATCCCAAAAAGAACCCAAAAACACCCCAAAAACACACCAAAAATATCCTAAAAATATCCCCAAAACATCCTAAAAATACCCCCAAAAACACCCCAAAAATCCCCAAAAAACACCCCAAAAACACCGCAAAAAACACACGAAAAACATCCTAAAAGCACCCCAAAAAACACCCCAAAAACACCCCAAAAATACCCCAAAAACCACCCCAAATCCCCCCCAAATCCCCCCAAGCTCGACCGCACCAGCAGCTCCGCAGATCCTGCCCCGCTTCCGCAGCGCTGACCACGACAGGTGACCCAAAACACCCCAAAAATGCCCCAAAAATACACCAAAAACCACCCCAAAATATCACAAAAATGTCCTAAAAATGCGTTGAAAAAAAAAAACAAAAACGCCCAAAAAATACCCCAAAAAAATCCCAAAAATACCCCCAAAAATTCCTCCAAAAAGGTCCCAAAAACACCCCAAGAAATTCCAAAAATACCCCCAAAAACACTCACAAAAAGGTCCCAAAAAATACCCTAAAAATACTCCAAAAATACCACCAGAAACATCCTAAAAAACAACCCAAAAACAGCCCAAGAAACACACCAAAAATATCCTAAAAATACCCCAAAAATATCCTAAAAATACCCCCAAAAACGCTCACAAAAACGCCCCAAAAATACCCCCAAAAACATCCTAAAAATACCCCAAAAATACCCCAAAAACATCCCCAAAACACCACAAAAATACCTCCAAAACCACCCCAAAAATACCCCCAAAAACATCCCCAAAACACCCTCAAAAACATCCACAAAACACCCCCAAAACTACACAAAAAACATCCTAAAAACACCCCAAATATACCCTCCAAAACATCCTAAAAACACCCAAAATAATCCCAAACATCCTAAAACACCTTAAAATACAGCAAAATACCTCCAAAACCACCCCAAATATACCCTCAAAAACATCCTAAAAACACCCAAAAAATACAGCAAAAATACCTCCAAAACCACCCCAAATATACCCTCCAAAACATCATAAAAACACCCAAAAAATACCCTAAAAAACATCACAAAAATACACCCAAAAACGCCCCAAAAACAACCCAAAAAACACGCCAAAACATCCTAAAAACACGTCCAAAAAATACCCCAAAAAGAACTCAAAAACACCCAAAAAACACCCCAAAAATATCCTGAAAATACCCCCAAAAACATCCCAAAAACACCCTCAAAAACAGCCACAAAACTCCCCAAAAACACCCAAAAAATACCCTCAAAACATCCCCAAAAGCACCACAAAAAGACCCCAAAAACATCCCCCAAAACACCCCAAAAACACCCCAAAAAGTCCTCAAAAACATCCTAAAAACACCCCAAAAATACCCCAAAAAAACCACATGAAAAACAGCCCCAAAACCACCCCAAAAAATCCTAAAAACACCCCAAAAATACCCCAAAAACAACCCCAAAATCCCCAAAATACCCCAAGCTCGACCACACCAGCAGCTTCCGGCAGATCCTGCCCCGCTTCCGGAGTGCTGACCACGACAGGTGACCTGAAATGCCCTGAAATTGCCCCAAAAATGCACCAAAAATCACCCCAAAATACCCCAAAAACGTCCCGAGAAACGCACCAAAAATACCAAAAAAAACGCCCCAAAAAGGTCCCAAAAACACCCCAAGAAATCCAAAAAATACCCCCCAAAATCCCCCCAAAAATGCCCCCAAAACACCCCAAGAAATCCCAAAAATACCCCCAAAAACACTCACAAGAACGCCACAAAAACACCCCAAAAATATCCAAAAAATACCCCCAAAAACACCCCCAAACCACACCAAAAATATCCTAAAAATATCCCCAAAAACACCCTAAAAACATCCCAAAAACATCCTAAAAACACCCCGAAAAATACACCAAAAAGAGCTCAAAAACCCCCCAAAACCACCCAAAAAAATCCCCAAAAACACCCCAAAAATATCCTAAAAATACCCCCAAAAACATCCTAAAAACACCCCAAAAATACCCTAAAAATACCCCAAAAACATCCTAAAAACATCCCAAAAATGTCCCCAAAAATACCCCAAAAATACCCCCAAAAACACCACAAAAACACCCAAAAATATCCCAAAAACATCCCCAAAAAATAACCCCAAAAACATCACAAAAAGAACCCAAAAATACCCCCAAAAACATCCTAAAAATACCCCAAAAAACATCCTAAAAATACCCCAAAAACATCCCCAAAACCACCCAAAAATACCCTCAAAAACCCCCAAAATCCCCCAAACCCCACCCCAAATCCCCCAATCCCCTTAAACTCACCCAGACCCCCAAATCCCCCAAATTTCCCCAAATCCCCTAAACTCCCCAGATCCCCCAAATCCCCCTCAAATCCCCTCAAATCCCCCAAATCCCCCTAAAATGACCCCAAATCTTTCCTGGACCCCAAATCCCCCAGACTCCCCCAAATCCCCCAAACTCTCCCAGATGCCTCCCAATCCCCCTAAATGACCCCAAACTCCCCAGTTTCTTCCCAAACTCCCCAAATCCTCCTAAAATGACCCCAAACCCCCAAATCTCCTCAAATCCCCAAATCCCCCAACCCCTCCCAGGGCGAGGCTGATGCAGAGCTTCAAGGAGTCCCACTCTCACGAGTCGCTGCTGAGCCCCCAAATCCCCCCAAATCCCCCTCAAATCCCCCAAATCCCCCCAAATCCCCCCTAAAATGACCCCAAATGTTTCCTGGACCTCCAAATCCCCCAAATCCCCCCAAACTCCTCCAGATGCCTCCAAATCCATCCTAAATGACCCCAAATCCCCTAAAATGACCCCAAATCCCCCTAAATGACTCCCAAATCCCCCAAACCCCCCCAAACCCCCCAAATCCCCCCCAAATCCCCCCCAAATCTTTCCTGGACCCTCAAATCCCCCTCAAATCTCCCCCAAATCCCCCCCAAACTCCCCCAGATGCCCCCAAATCCATCCTAAAATGACCCCAAATCCCCTCAAATCCCCTCAAATCCTCAAATCCCCTCAAATTTCTCCTAGATCCCCCAAATTTTCCTGGACCCCCAAATCCCCCCAAATCCCCCTGGACCTCCCAAATGACCCCAAATCTCCCCAAATCCTTCAAATCCCCCAAATCCCCCTAAAATGACCCCAAACTCCCCAGTTTCTTCCCAAACTCCCCAAATCCTCCTAAAATGACCCCAAATCCCCCAAATCCCCCAAATCCCCCAAATTCCTCCCAAATCCCCCAAATCCCTCTAAAATGACCCCAAATCCCCCAAAACTTTTCTGGACCCCTCAAATCCCCCCAGACTCCCCAAATCCCCCAAACTCTCCCAGATGCCTCCAAATCCATCCTAAAATGACCCCAAATCCCCTCAAATCCCCCAAACTCCCCAAATCCCCCTCAAATCCCCCAAATACCCCCTGGACCTCCCAAATCCCCAAATCCCCCTCAAATCCCTCCAGATCCCCCAAATCCCCTCAAATCCCCCAAATCCCCCTGGACCTCCCAAAATGACCCCAAATCCCCCCCAAACTCCTCCAGATGCCCCCAAATCCATCCTAAAATGACCCCAAATCTCCCCTAAATGACCCCAAATCCCCCTAAATGACCCCAAATCCCCCAAATCTCCTCAAATCCCCCAGATCTCTCCTGGACCCCCAAACCCCCCAAATCCCCCAAATCTTTCCTGGACCCCCAAATCCCCCCCAAACTCTCCCAGATGCCTCCAAATCCATCCTAAATGACCCCAAATCCCCCTCAAATCCCCTCAAACTCCTCCAAATCCCCCACAAATCCCCCAAATCCTCCTAAAATGACCCCAAATCTTTCCTGGACCCCCAAATCCCCCCAGACTCCCCAAATCCCCCCAGACTCCTCCAAATCCCCCCAAACTCTCCCAGATGCCCCCAAATCCATCCTAAAATGACCCCAAACTCCCCAGTTTCTTCCCAAACTCCCCCAAATCCTCTAAAATGACCCCAAATCCCCTCAAATCCCCTCCAAATCTCCCCAAATCCCCCAAACCCCCCAGGGCAGAGGCTGATGCAGAGCTTCAAGGAGTCCCACTCTCACGAGTCGCTGCTGAGCCCCCAAATCCCCCCCAAATCCCCCCAAATCCCCCAAATCCCCCAAATCCCCCTAAAATGACCCCAAATCTCCCCAAATCCCCCAAATCTTTCCTGGACCCCCAAATCCCCCCAGATCCCCCTGACCTCCCAAAATGACCTCAAGTCCCCCAAACTCCTCCAGATGCCTCCAAATCCATCCTAAAATGACCCCAAATCCCCTCAAACTCCTCCAAATCCCCTCAAATTTCTCCTGGACCCCCAAATCTTTCCTGGACCTCCCAACCCCCCAAATTCCCTCCCTCCCCCAGGGCGAGGCTGATGCAGAGCTTCAAGAGTCTCACTCTCACGAGTCGCTGCTGAGCCCCCAAATCCCCCAAATCCCCCAAATCCCCTCAAATCCCCCCAAATCCCCCAAATCCCCTCAAATCCCCCAAATCCCCCAAAATGACCCCAAATCTTTCCTGGACCTCCAAATTCCCCCAAATCCCCCAAACTCCTCCAGATGCCTCCAAATCCATCCTAAAATGACCCCAAATCCCCTCAAATCCCCCTCAAACTCCTCCAAATCTCCCTCAAACTCCCTCAAATCCCCCAAATCTTTCCTGGACCCCCAAATCCCCCCCAAATCCCCCTGGACCTCCCAAAATGACCCCAAATCCCCCAAACTCTCCCAGATGCCCCCAAATCCATCCTAAAATGACCCCAAATCCCCTCAAATCCCCTCAAACTCCTCCAATCCCCTCAAATCCCCCAAATCCCTCAAATCCCCCAAATCTTTCCTGGACCCCAAATCCCCCAAACTCCCCCAGACCCTCCCAAACTCCCCCAAAATCCCTCTCAAACCACCCCAAACTCCCCAGATACCCCCAAATCCATCCTAAATGACCCCAAATCCCCCAAATCCCTCAAATCCCCAAATCCCCCAAATCATTCCTAGACCCCCAAATCCCCCAAATCCATCCTAAAATGACCCCAAATCCCCTCTCAAACCACCCCCAAAACCCCCTAAAATGACCCCAAATCCCCTCAAATCCCCCAAATCCCCCAAATCTTTCCTGGACCCCCAAATTCCCCTGGACCTCCCAAAATGACCTCAAGTCCCCCTAAACTCTCTCTCAGATGCCTCCAAATCCATCCTAAAATGACCCCAAATCCCCTCAAATCCCCCCAAACTCCCCAAATCCCCTCAAATCCCCCAACCCCCTAAAATGACCCCAAATCCCCTCAAATCCCCCCAAATCCCCCTGGACCTCCCAAAATGACCTCAAGTCCCCTCAAACTCTCCCAGATGCCCCCAAATCCATCCTAAAATGACCCCAAATCCCCTAAAATGACCCCAAATCCCCCTCAAATCCCCCAAATCCCCCAAATCCTCTCTAAAATGACCCAAATCTTTCTGGACCCCAAATCCCCTAAATCCCCCTGGACCTCCCAAATGAATCTCCCCAAATCCTTCAAATCCTCTAAAATGCCCAAACTCCCAGTTCTTCCAAACTCCCCAAATCCTCCTAAAATGACCCCCAAATCCCCCCTCAGATCTTCCTGTACCCCAAATCCCCCCAAATCCTCCTAAATGATCCCAATCCTCCTAAATCATTCCTAAATGACCCCAAATCCCCCAAATCCCCCAAATCCCCCAAACTCTCCCAAATCCCCCAAATCCATCCTCAAATGACTCCAAATCCCCCAAATCCCCTCAAATCCCCTCAAACTCCTCCAAACCCCCCAAATTTCTCCCTGGACCCCCAAATCTTCCTGGACCTCCCAAATCCCCCTAAATCCCCTACCCCCAAATTCCCCTCCCTCCCCAGGGCGAGGCTGATGCAGAGCTTCAAGGAGTCTCACTCTCCCAGTCGCTCTCTGAGCCCCCAAATCCCCCCAAATCCCCCAGATCCCCCTCAAATCCCCCAAATCCTCCTAAAATGACCCCAAATCCCCCAAATGACCCCAAATCCTCCTAAATGACCCAAATCTTTCCTGGACCCCCAAATCCCCCAGATCTCCCCAAATCCCCCAAACTCTCTCCAGATGCCCCCAAATCCATCCTAAAATGACTCCCAACTCACCTAATCCCCCTCAAACTCCCCTCCAAACTCCCCTCCAAATCTCTCTCCCTGGACCCCCCAGTCCTTTCCTGACCCCCAGATCCCTCCTGATCCTCCCAACCCCCAACCTCCTCCTCCCTCCCCCAGGGCGAGGCTGATGCAGAGCTTCATGAGTCTCACTCACGAGTCGCTGCTGAGCCCCCCAAATCCCCTCTAAACTCCCCCAGATCCCCTCAAATCCCCCAAATCCTCTCTCTAAAATGACCTCCAAATCCCCCAAATGACCCCAAATCCTCCTAAAATGACCCCAAATCTTTTCCTGACCCCCAAATCCCCCCCAGACTCCCCCAAATCCCCCCCAAACCTCTCTCAGATGCCCCCAATCCATCCTAAAATGACCCCAAATCCCTCGAACTCCCCAAATCCCCCTCAACTTTCTCCTGACCCCCAGTCTTTTCCTGGACTCCCAAATCCCCCAAATCCCCTCAAATCTCCCTCAAACTCCTCTTCCAAACCCCTTCAGGGCGCAGGCTGATGCAGAGCTTCAAGGAGTCCCACTCTCACGAGTCGCTGCTGAGCCCGTCGAGCGCGGCCGAGGCGCTGGAGCTCAACCTGGACGAGGATTCCATCATCAAGGCCGTGCACAGCAGCATCCTGGGCCAGGAGTTCTGCTTCGAGGTTGGAAGGGGGGGGGTTTGGAGGTTATTTTGGACCCCCAAAATGTCCAGGGGGTGGTCCTTGAGGGTCTCAACTGGGTCCTCAGGTGACGACGGCGTCGGGCACCAAGTGCTTCGCGTGTCGCTCGGCGGCCGAGAGGGACAAGTGGATCGAGAACCTGCAGAGGGCGGTGAAGCCCAACAAGGTGGGGGGGATGGGAGGAGGGGTGGGAGGGTGGTCAAGTGGTCATTGGGGTGGTCAAGGGGTCATTGGGGTGGTCAAGAAGTCATTGGGTTGGTCAACGGGTCAAGGGGGAGTCAATTGGTGATGGTCAACTGGTCATGGGGATGGTCAAGTGGTCATTGGGTTGGTCAAGTGGTTAGTTGGTGGTGGGAGGGGGTCAAGTGGTCATTGGGATGGTCAAGTGGTCATTGGGGTGGTCAAGTGGTCAAGTGGTCATGGGGATGGTCAGGTGGTCATGGGGATGGTCAAGTGGTCATTGGGTTGGTCAACGGGTCAAGGGGATGGTCAAGTGGTCATGGGAGTGGTCAAGTGGTCATTGGGTTGGTCAAGTAGTCAAGAGGTGATGGGGATGGTCAAGTGGTCGTGGGGGTGGTCAATGGGTCATTGGGATGGTCAAGTGGTCATTGGGATGGTCAAGTGGTCATTGGAATGGTCAAGTGGTCATGGGGTTGGTCAAGTGGTCATTGGAATGGTCAAGTGGTCATGGGGATGGTCAAGTGGTCATTGGGATGGTCAACTGGTCATGGGAATGGTCAAGTGGTCATGGGGTGGTCAATTGGTCATGGGGGTGGTCAAGTGGTCATTGGGGTGGTCAATTGGTCATGGGGATGGTCAAGTGGTCATGGGAGTGGTCAAGTGGTCATGGGGGTGGTCAAGTGGTCATTGGGATGGTCAAGTGGTCATTGGGATGGTCAAGTGGTCATTGGGTTGGTCAAGTGGTCGTGGGGGTGGTCAGGTGGTCATTGGGATAGTCAAGTGGTCATAGGGATGGTCAAGTGGTCATGGGAGTGGTCAAGTGGTCAATTGGTATAGGGGTTCAACTGGTCATGGAGGGGTCAATTGGTGATGGGGAAGTCAACTGGTGATGGGAGGGGTCAAGTGGTCATAGGGGTGGTCAAGTGGTCACGGGGATGGTCAAGTGGTCATGGGGGTGGTCAAGTGGTCATGGGAGTGGTCAAGTGGTCAACTGGTCAGGGAGGAGTCAATTGGTGATGGTCAAGTGGTCATAGGGGTGGTCAAGTGGTCAAGGGGGAGTCAACTGGTGATGGTCAATTGGTCATGTGGGTGGTCAAGTGGTCATGGAGGGGTCAGCTGGTGATGGTGGTCAACCGATGGGGATGAGAATGGTCATGGTGTCCATGGTCAACTGGTGTTGGTGGTCAACTGGTGTTGATGGTCAACTGGTGATGGGGATGAGAATGGTAGTGGTTTTGATGTTCAACTGGTGTTGATGGTCAACTGGAGTGGGTGGTCAACACAGTGGTCAGTTGGTGATGGGGATGAGAATAAAAGGGGTTTTGATGGTCAACTAGTGCTGGTGGTCAACTGGTTTTGATGGTCACCCGGTGTTGGTGGTCAACTGGTGTTGATGGTCAACTGGTGGGGATGAGAATGGTCATGGTGTCCATGGTCAACTGGTGTCAATGGTCAACTGGTGTGGGTGGTCAACACAGTGGTCAACTGGTGATGGAGATGAGAATAACAGTGGTTTTGATGGTCAACTGTTGCTAATGGTCAACTGGTGTCCATGGTCAACTGTTGTGGGTGGTTAATTAGTGTTAATGGTCAACTGGTGTTGGGGTGAGAATGGTCACGGTGTCGATGGCCAACTGGTGATGGGGATGAGAATGGTCATGGTGTTGATGGTCAACTGGTGTTGGTGGTCAACTGGTGATGGGGATGAGAATGGTCATGGTGTCAATGGTCAGGTGGTGTTGGTCAATTGGTGGCATGAGGGGGGTCAACTGGTGTTGGTGGTCAACTGATGTCAATGGTCAACTGGTGTTGGTGGTCAACTGGTGTCAATGGTCAACTGGTGTTGATAGTTAACTGGTGTCAATGGTCAACTGGTGATGGGGATCAGAATGGTCATGGTATCGATGGTCAACTGGTGTGGGTGGTCAACTGGTGTTGGTGGTCAACTGGTGTTGATGGTCCACTGGTTTTGATGGTCAACTGGTGATGGGGATGAGAACGGTCATGATGTCCATGGTCAACTGGTGTCCATGGTCAACTGGTGACGGGGATTAGAATGGTCACGGTGTCCATGGTCAAGTAGTGTTGGTGGTCAACTGGTGGGGATGAGAGTGGTAGTGGTTTTGAAGGTGAACTGGTGTTGGTGGTCAACTGGTGATGGGGATGAGAACGGTCATGATGTCGATGGTCAACTGTTGCCGACGGTCAACCATCGTGGACGGTCAACTGGTGTTGATGGTCAACTGATGGAGATGAGATGGGATGAGGGGGGTCAACTGGTGTCGGTGGTCAACTGGTGATGGGGATGAGAATGGTCATGGTTTCCATGGTCAACTGGTGTCAATGGTCACCCAGTGCCAATGGTCAACTGGCATTGATGGTCAACTGTTGCCAATGGTCAACTGGTGATGGGGATGAGAATGGTCGTGGTTTTGATGGTCAGCTGCTGTTGGTGGTCAAGTGGTGATGGGGATGAGAACGGTCATGGTGTTGATGGTCAACTGTTACCGACGGTCAACCATCGTCGTTGGTCAACTGGTGTTGGTGGTCAACTGATGTTGGTGGTCAACTGGTGATGGGGATGAGAATGGTCACGGTGTCAATGGTCAACTGGTGATGGGGATGAGAATGGTCATGGTGTCCAGGGTCAACTGGTGTTGGTGGTCAACCGTTGTGGTCGGTCAACTGGTGTTGATGGTCAACTGATGGAGATGAGATGGGGTGAGGGGGGTCAACTGGTGTCGGTGGTCAACTGGTGATGGGGATGAGAATGGTAGTGGTTTTGATGGTCAACTGGTGTCAATAGTCAACTGGGGTCGGTGGTCAACTGGTGATGGGGATGAGAATGGTCATGGTGTCCAGGGTCAACTGGTGTTGATGGTCAACTGGTGTTGATGGTCAACTGGGGTTGGTGGTCAACTGGTGGGGATGAGAATGGTAGTGGTTTTGATGGTCAACTGGTGTTGATGGTCACCCAATGCCAATGGTCAACTGGTGTTGATGGTCAACTGGTGTTGATGGTCAATTGGTGTTGATTGTCAACTGGTGTTGGTGGTCAACTGGTGTTGGGGGTCAACTGGTGAGGATAACAGTGGTCAACTGGTGTCAATGGTCAACTGATGTTGATGGTCAACTGGTGATGGGGATCAGAATGGTCATGGTGTCCATGGTCAACTGGTGTGGGTGGTCAACTAGTGTTGGGGGTCAACTGGTGTTGGGGGTCAACTGGTGGGGATAACAGTGGTCAAGTGGTGTCAATGGTCAGCTGGTGTTGATGGTCAAGTGGTGATGGGGATGAGAATGGTCACGACATCGATGGTCAACTGGTGATGGGGATGAGAACCATCATGATATCGATGGTCAACTGTTGCCGACAGTCAACCATCGTGGTCGGTCAACTGGTGTTGATGGTCAACTGATGGAGATGAGATGGGGTGAGGGGGGTCAACTGGTGTTGGTGGTCAACTGGTGTTGGGGATGAGAATGGTCACGATGTCGATGGCCAACTGGTAAGGGGGATGGTAATAGCCATGGTGTCCATGGTCAACTGGTGTTGATGGTCAACTGGTGTCGATGGTCAACTGGTGTTGGGGATGAGAACCGTCATGATATCGATGGTCAACTGTTACCGACGTTCAACCGTCGTCATCGGTCGACCATCACCGACATTCCACCGACACCAACAATGGGGGGCTGTCGTTTTTCCACCGACACCAACCGGGGGTGTTGGGTGGGTGGGGCCTTTCCCAGGACAACAGCCGTCGCGTGGACAACGTGCTGAAGCTGTGGGTGATCGAGGCGCGCGACCTCCCGCCCAAGAAGCGCTACTACTGCGAGCTGTGCCTGGACGACATGCTCTACGCCCGCACCACCAGCAAGGCGCGCACCGACAACGTCTTCTGGGGCGAGCACTTCGAGTTCAACAACCTGCCCGCCGTGCGCACC